AGAGAGAGAGAGAGAGAGAGAGAGAGAGAGAGAGAGACAGAGGCAGAGACAGAGAGACAGAGACAGACAGACAGCTTGAGAGACAGAGAGACAGAGACAGACAAGCAGAGGCAGACAGACAGACAGAGAGACCACCCTGAATTCATATTCACCCTCTATTCTTTTTCTCCTTAGAAGTCCCCACTACTAATAGAGAACATCGATAAGTTTTCTCCTTTGCTGTGTTTATCTTCACTAAGATGTAATATTTTCTGGTCCATGTAGTTATTACTGCTGTGCCAATGGCATGGTAGAAATAGGATAAACACTTATTAAATTCATGAATGACTTGACAATAGCTGTGTGATGTATGATTGCCTTCTCACAAGTCCTTACTCCTATATGTGGGAAAAGTTTGGGCATGCAAGAATTAAGTATACTTTTTCTTAATATAAGTTAACCATTGGTATAATCATGTCTGATCTTCTTAGATGGACTGTCAGAACTATACTTTAAAAAAAAAACAGTGGAAGAAATGGAAGGAGAGAAGGACACAGATCCCAAATCAGTGTCTGTAAAAAATAAAGTGGAACCAGGAAACTTGCCTGCAGTCCTGTCTCTGCTATATTAGTTACATGACCTCATGTTTGATTTCTTTTTCTTTAGTTATAATGAACTAGTGTTAAATGAATGCTAGCCATGATCCTTTTCTAGTCTAACATCTGAGTGGGTCAGTGCTCTAGAACTGACTTCTCCTTTTATATTTCTTAAAAACCTAAAAAGAAAATTAATTTCATCACAATTTTTAAATTCTCTTGCCATGCATTGTCTTTCAGAATCCTTTGAGTTATATCAAGGATTATGGAAGTTCATACATATGAGTGGATGAATATCCAACTGCATATGTGTACAATTTTGTTTGGTATTTTCATTTTTTAAATTCTTTTAGAATAATCGCTACTTCAAATAGTGATGAAGCTACACAGACAGAACCTGTTAGCTGACGCTTCATAGTCCCTGGCAATGTTTATGAGTTAGAAAAGGGATAAACTGCTATCATTGACATTAGAAATGAAGGTTTATTAGCAGAGAGAGCTGTGAGCTTTTTCTTAAAAGCACAAAGCACCCTGCAAGCAGTCATTCCATAGAACTGGTGGAATGGGTCTAGAAACCCCAAGAAATCTACCAATGATCTAAATGTTGTTCTGAATGTCCTTCATTTTCTAATGCTGAGAATGTTTCCTATGTGACCAGAATCTTAGTTAATGGGAAATAGTAAAAGGCAAGAAAGAACATGGCTTTGGATCACAGTATTAAAGAAACACCTAAATTCAGAGGATATTGTGATTTAAGAATTGACTAGCACCTGGGGCAATATCTAAGTGATAGAGTTCTTACCCTGTATGTACTGGGTCTTGTATTCTGTCCCCTCAAACCATAAGGACGTGGGGGGTTCTGTTTGGTTGTTGTTGTTGTTGTTGTTGTTGTTGGTGGTGGTGGTGGTGGTGGTGGTGGTGGTGTGTGTGTGTGTGTGTGTGTGTGTGTATGTGTGTGTGTGTGTGTTTTGGAGACAAAATAGCCACTTGTTTGTAAGTCTTTGGGAATAGATCTTGCTGACAGTCTTGAAGGTCACAGGCAAAGTGTGATATAGTAGCTTATATTTATAATACTACTGCCCAGGAGACTGAGGCAAAAACATTTTCAGAGTGCTAGGAACCCATCTGCGTTATAGAGTGAATTCCATGTCAGCCCAGGTTACTGTTTAAGACTATCTCAGCATGCCCCCTCACAAAGACTAAGGCAAAGATTATAATAGTAGTGCTCAAACTTCACTGTACAGCAAAGTATGCAAGGAACCTTGTTAGACATTCAGATTCCTAGGCTACTTTCCAGAAGATAGAATTGGATATCACAGGGCCCAGGAATCAGCACTTTCTAATGAATCCCTTCAGGAGATATTAACTAGATTCCTATCATGCCTAGGGAACCACATATTGGGAGATACAGATTGAGTGGAAAGACCTTTGGGGTTAATTATCAAAATTCAGATTGCTCTGAGCTATTCGTGTGTGTGTGTGTGTGTGTGTGTGTGTGTGTGTGTGCGTGTGTTGAGGTTAATATTTAAAACGGCACTTGTGTGGGCTGACTATCTAAGCAGCAGTGGCTCTGTTTAGCTCAGGTCTCCATGTTCTGTGGCCTGAAGCCAAGTGCTCTACAGCTGGAAGCAGCCCGCCAGAAACACCAGCCCTGGCACCCACGAGATGCCATCGTGGTGGCTAGATCAGCCAATCTACCACTCTGTCTCCACAAAGTTGGCTGAGCCTAGACCATCTTGCCATCCATTCGGTACCCGGTAGAAATGAGACTCTAAAGCTTAATTATTTATTATCCAATGGCTTTATATATTCAAAAATGTTCAATTAACAATTTGCCCACACAATTTGAGTTGTTTTTCAGTATCTAACCTTAAAATTAATCGTTACCCAGGATTGTTCTGGATCCACTCGTAGTTCTTCATGGCTCCTACATCTCTCTCCTCTTTTAGTTCCTCTTCTTTCTCCTCTTCCTCTCACATTAAGTCCTCCCAAATTACAGAGTTTATTGTAAAATGTAGCGGGGGAAATATCCTGCTACATGTGTGTCTGTGTTGGTATGTATGTCTCAACCTCTGACCTCATATTTAATTTCTTTAAGCCTTCATCTTCTGTAAAAAAAAAATGAGATTAAAAGGCTTACTTTACATGACTGTTTTGAAATTTAGAAATGACATGTGGCACATGTCATTTAGAAAAGGCATGTAGCACAAGACTGACATATACTAGGCTCAAAATTCCAACTACTGCTATTATGACACTTAAGTAATATGATTTCTGCTTATCATACGCATTCAGGTGCTCCCTTGGAAAAAAGCCAACTGGCCATTGCAAGTACTACTGTCACCTGCTAGCGTATATATATACTCCTATTCCTTTCCCTGTGCTTCTTTTATTTTTCTTTCCATAGCATTTATAACTTTTGTTGTTGTTTTTGTTGTTTTGAGACAATGTTTCTCTGTGCAGTCTTAGCTGTCTGGGAACTCCCTCTGTAGACCAGGCTGGCCTTGAATTCACAGAGATCCTCCTGCCTCTGCCTCCCTAGTGCTGGTACTAAAGGTGCACCACCACCACCTGGCCACATTGACAGCTTTTTAAGTCATTCCATAATTAACTTACTTATTTATGGTGAACATTGAAACCGAATAGAATACAAATTTTATAATGGCATGTATTTTGTTTGCTTATTAATACATAGTATCCCTGTGTACTCCAGGCTAGCCCTAAGCTTACATTTCTTCTGCCTCATCCTTTCCTGTGCTAAGAATTCAGGCATGCACTATTACACCCGATGAAAAGAGAGATTTCAGGTTGTTCTATACACTGACACCCACAGCATCTAGAAAGTACTTGGCAGAAGATAGCATTCAGTAATTATGTCTTGAATACTGTGACTCTACTGCCAGGAAAAGAAAATGTATTTTTATTACTGTTTTGGTCCAGTGCCCTACCCCCACAATTCCTATACTTCTAAATCATGACTCTCCATGTCTGTCAACAGCTATTTAAAAATTGGTTAACATAAAATGGTACTTTCTGAAAATACCAGAAATAGAAGATGGGAATCATTTGTTTGCAGAAAAGCTCGTTGGTATCCCAAAGTAAAAAGCATTAACTGAGGAAATCATTGACATGCTACCTGGTCTGCAAGCTGATGCTTCTGTGAGAGATGGTAGGGAATCCCAGTGAAAATAACTCCTTACTCTTGGAATTAATGAGAGTTTCAGAGTAGAGTGGAGAAAGCTGTAGGCTTGGGCTAAGGGCTGATGTTACATGGAACAGAGACTGTTTTAGGAAAGGGAAAGGAAGAGAAGATGCACTGGAGATGTCCTGGGTGTGGTGGTGATGTGGAAAAGAAGTATATTCTCATTGCATTGCTTGTCAGCCCAAGCTGGAGAGGCAATAAGGGCACTTGGGAAATTTTATATTCGCACGACTGGCAGCAAAGGTCAGAAGACATGCAAATATATGAAGTGATCCATATTTTTAAATATATTTTATGAAAAAAATTTAATTTAAAAAAGGTCAGAAGCTGTGGTGAGGTTTCCACAAGCTCAGCTGAGAGATAAATTGTGCTCTGTGTTCTTTGCATTCCCCAATGTGGATTGAATTTCTCTCGAATCTCTTTGTGTGTCATTCAAAGGCTGTCTTCCAAGTTATCAAACAAGAAACCACCCCAAGCAATGCATTCCTCTCATTGTAAATGCTTTCTGTTTCCATACCAAGAGATTAAAAATACCGACCAGTTCTATGTCCCAGGTTGAGCTATGCACAACATTGGTTTCTCGAGATATTACCAGCATTCCATAAGGAGTAAGGCAAGTTTGTGTGCCTAAGCAATGCCATGACTATGTAGTTTATTTCCAAAGCATGATGCCTTGCCACAGGGAAGACGTAACAGAGGAACTTTGATTCAGAATCTTAGATAAGGAGGCTTATTGTTGACAAAAAAAAAAAAGAGTGGAGCAAGGAGATCTTTAACAATTTCCAAACCTCCAAGCTAGTCAGAGTATCTTCCCACTTCATGTTTAAGCTAGCAGGTATGTCCAGTAGCCAGTCTGAGTTCCTGCTGGTGCTTTGCTCACCTGTCCTTGTCTGCAAAGACACAACACGTTTTCTATTGACATCATATCCAGGTATAGATAACAGACCATTATTCCTGAGCTGTTTCTATCACCTTTCACCTCTTGCCACGGAGCTAATTTTTCTTCCTTTATTATGTTTTTTTTTTTTTACTTGCATCATCTTTGAACAAACTCTTTGGGTCTTTCACTGTTTGTTCACTAAGGTTCTTCAATTACCCCGCCCCAAAGAAAACCTTCTAGAAATATTCATTGAAGTCAGGTTATTATGGATTATACCTTTAATGCCAATATTCAGGAGACTGAGACAGGAGGATTCCTATGAGTTTGAGGAAACCTTGGGCAATATAGTGAGTTCCAGGCCTGAGGTACATAGAGCCAGAGAACCTGTTTACAAAAAAAAAAAGCAAAGAAATATTTACCAAATTGAATTCCTCCTGAACCTCCACCTACACCCAGATCCTCCTAAAATAATGAACCACTTGTCACAGTGGAGTCACACAAAAGGTTTCACATTGATTTTGACCTTATTTGAGCTTTTGCAATCGTTAACAGCCAAAGTGATTCCTTTCAGCTTGTTAGCTAAAATGTACCAATCATGACTCCCAGTGGCATTTACTTTTGCTGGGGAGTGTTAAAAATTTGAAATGCCAAAGCATTCTTCTTGGTCAAGTGCAAAGGGCTGGATTGCTGTGGCGTATATGGTAGGGCTGGGTCCTGGGAACTGCTGTTCAGGGAGTACCTAATGGTTTGTTATGGAGAAAACTTTTTCCCTCTTGGTGGTTTATGGAATAAACTACCTCACAGCAGTTAGACTCTAGGCAATCATTCAAAGTTTCATTTTTAATTTGATAGGGTAGATTTTAATTGTGACAGTTTTATTCCTTCATATGTGCAGTGTTTACATTTTTTTTCTCTGAAGCAAGGGAGTACAAAGTTCTTTTGATTTTTGGAATAACATTATGCTTTGAAAGAACACAGTAAAATCTAAGGAGTTGAGTCTCCAGATAAACACAGCCATAAATGGTCCCCCTAGAAAATGGCCAAAATTACCAAATCTTTGACTAAAATCCAATTGAGATTTTGCTGACAAACAATGAATTAAGTGAAGGATCATTTTGAACTAGTTGGGTTTTTGTTTGTTTTTTGTTTTCATTTCAACATATAGAGTTGTTTGATGAAGAAAATGTTTTCTCATGTATCCCTTTCCAATATAAAGGAAAACTTGGTGCCTTGAGGAAGTTAATCAGGATTACACATAAGATCTTCCCCTACTGTTAAACAAGAGTAACTAGCAGAGCCTACCACAGTCCAAGTCTACATCTGAGACTATCCCTGCCTTCAAGAGACCTGCCTTCTCAGGATGTCCCAGTAAGAAGTCATGAGATCTGATGTGGTCAATTTTTTGTCCACTTGACACACACTATGGTCTTTTGGGAAGAAGAAACCTCTTTGAGAAAACATCCCCATCAGTTTGGCCTATGGGATGGCCTGTGGGGCATTTTTTAAAATTAATAATTGATGTGGGAGGGCTTAGTCCAACTGGAAAAACGGTACTTCTGGGCAGGTAGGCATGAGTTTTAAATGCAATCTGACTAGGAAGACAGTGAGCAGCACTCCTCCATGGCTTCTGCTTCAGTTCCTGCCTCTAAGTGCCATCTGTGAATTCCTGCTCTAACTTTCCTCAGTGATGCTGTGATCTGAGAGTTGTATGCCAGAATAACACTCTTCCTTCCAATTTGGTTATAGTGTTTTATCATAGCCATGAAGATCCTACCTAAGTTGAGAGAATACAAGGACCTGCTTCAAGTTCACTGCAGTTTGTAGGGCTGTGATATTATCCTTCATGACATTCACATTTATCCTTTCATATGTCTTTAGCATATATATATATATATATATATATATATATATATATATATATGTATATGTATTTCTCATGAAGCCTTTTCACTACTAGCCCTCCTTTCAATAAATATGGCATTTTCAGATGTGTTAACCTTGGTGATTACTTGTTCTAAAGAAAAATGGGACCAGTAGGGCAAGCACAGGAAGACACTTGACATGTCCCAGTTTGCCCTTAATTATGAGTAGCACAACCAGAACCAGACCTCAAGGGATGTGGAGTCAGATAGTTCTTAGACAGCAACTCCATCCCTGTGAGAGTGGGCAGAAGTGACTGGCTTGTATGAACATTCATTTACTATTAATTAAGGGACTTAATAAATAAACAAAAGCCCAATTAAAAGACTGCTAGGAAACACTTGTGCATACCTTTCCAAGAGTGAGGAGGCTAGGTATCACAGTGTTCTTTGAAGTTGCTGTTACCTGCTAGTTTATTTACTGGGGTTTTGCTTCCCTATGAACTCCCTAAATTAGTGGCAAATTAATGTTTATCCAATTAAATTGAGCCTGTAGTGTAAATATATTTTTTCAGTGATAGTAAATGAAAGGTACAAATATAGAAAATGAGAAGTCACTGGAAAGAATGCCAGTTGTAGCTTATGATATGAACATTTGAAAATCCATTCGGGACATCAATTCCATCTCTTTACCTTTTCCCCCCACTGGCTCCATTTTTTTCCATCATTCATCTCAAGAAAAAAAAAACGTTCCTTTCTTATGAGTTCTAGAAGGTTCTTTAAATCACTCTGTAACAAAAATGAATGGGATTTAAAGGAAATAATGCAGTTAATAGATTCTATGTACTCAAGTTAGTTTTGCAGACTACATAAGAAAATACTGTCAGCTCTGTAAGTTACAGAGCCACGTCCTTAACTATATCATTGTATGTATATGTAAATCCTTTCTCCAAGCCAAAAGACTAACTTGGGACTTTCAGAAAGAAACTATATATAGATTTATAGCCCCGTCCCATTTTATATGCATTTGTTATCAAGGAAAAGTCACATCTACTACATAAAATAACGCTCAACAATTATAATCTCTTGGCAGTCAAGCCTAGTTGAATGAGTAACGGCTCAAAAATGCAGGATAGTTCAACCAAATGTACTGCACAGTATCTTTTAAATAATGACACTTCCTGTAACTTATTATGATAGTTCAGGTTATTCTGATTTTCCACCTTGATAATTTGTCATTAAACAAACCATATAGTCTCAGGGACTCGGGAATGCAGTACTTGTATCACTCCAAAGGACATGCATGCACTCTTGTTTATTTTTCAGTGGGAACAGATTGGTGCTCAGAACAAAACTATGTATTACATATCTAAGCATAACAAATTTTAAATGGACTTAACTGTATGACTATGACAGCATTTTCCTAATTTGCTCCTAAGATTTCTTTTTATAAAAATCAGTTCAAGATATACATGTTTATCTTATATTGTTTTTGCTTCGCTCATCTTTTTTCCAGTGCTGGGAATCAAACTTAGAATCTTACCCATGCAAAGGAAGCTCTCCTCCAGTAAACAGCTCCACCCCCTGCTCCCTTGACTTGGGGTTTTAATATGTAGCCCACATATGGCCTCACACTTTAGGCCTTCTCCACCAGCCTTACAAATACATGCCACAATGCCCAGATGCTATTCTTTTTTTTTTTCAAAAATTCTCTCTCTTGGTCCAAACAGGATGGCTCAGTGAGTAAAGGTGTTTCTAACACAAATATGATTACCCACATTGTGGAAGGAGACAACCAGCTCCCACCAATTGTCCTCTGCCTTCCACGTGCACACTCATACACATCAAATACATGAGTATAAAAAAAATCAATAAATACAAACATTTCTCATTTCACTCTTATGTATTACTTTTTCAATGGATATAATTATATATGTCTATTTGATCATACTAAGTGGAACATGCACTTAAAATGATGGGGTTTTAATTGCTTAATTTATCTAATATAGTAAAAGAATGCAATCTAATCATTCTTTTCAAATATCCACACTTTTTCCTTTCATTCCCTTTTAATTCTCAGATCATTGTTTTCATCATAGAGCTTTAAATGCCATCTGTAAATGTCTTTCATATTTCTATGCTCAGACAGGACCAATAAACTGAATTCCAAGTCCTCATTTCTGGCTCTCTACTAGATACTTCCACTTGGATATCTCACAGACCTAACAACATTATCATATCAAAGCCAAACTCCTGAACTTCACCCAACCTTCTCCTCCCTTAGCATCTCAAATTCAATCAATACCTTCTCCATCTTGTTACCCACGCCATACAACTTGAAACCATCTTTTCTGTCTATCTCTCATTATCATCCTTTCCTCCCAATAAATTAACTTAAATTGTCATCATTGTCTCCATCATGTTTAAAATTTTAATATTTCTCATCATTTTGCCGTCCTGGTTTAGCACCAGTATCACTGGTTGGAATTCATCAGTTGTCCCTGTTCATTTTTCTTGCTTCAACCCTGGCTTTCCATTAAATATACTTTCCACTGAGAAGCCAGACTGATAACAACTGCATTAGTCATCAGAACAAGAACTCTAGTAGCTCCCCACTCACTTTGAACAAAAGCAGACGTCTGAATCATGATCAAAAGGATTCTGCAACATCTGGCCCTGGCTACCTGCTTCCCCCCTACCACCCACTTCTTCCTCACTCTTGCAGTCTTGCTAGAGGCTCGCTGTTCCAGACTCAAGACTTTTGACATTAATTTCTTCCTTCTGCCTTGTATAATATTCTCCAACTTTACTTTTTCCCCCTAAAATGTCATTTGCCCATGACATGATCATCTCATTTAATACTACATCTCTTTCAGCATTTCTTGTCACCATTGTTTGCTGTTCTCTGCTGGACTCATGTTATGCTCCCCTTCTGTATTTGTTCAATGCCCATTTCCCTAGGTTTGTTGCCAGATCCATAAAGACAGTGATTCTTGTCTGTTTGGTTTCTAGCTGAATCCTTAAAATCCCTTTCCTGGTGTTTACTCTGTAAGCATTGACCAAATATCCATGCAATGAGTGAAAAGAATGGACATAGGAGAGTGTCAGAGAGAATCATAGTGGTTCTGAACCAGAGGATATCTGAACCAGTGCTAGAGGTGAAGATGGAAAACTTACCTACTTAGGAGAACAAGCCAGATGTAGTTTCAGCAAAATGTAGTTTCAGCTGTAGGGATAAAAAGTTTTGAGTGAATATCTTCTAGCCATGTGGAGAACTTGGATGCATATTTTAAGGAAATTGGGTTCAAGTTAGCAAGCTACCACATGAAAGGCCCATCAACTGTATATATGTTCCTTTTCCTCTAGAAACACAAACTAGTTTATAGAATTTGAGGGTTCAGATCACTGGAGAGTCGAACGTTGAATTGACATTGGGCATAGCTTCATGCATAATACAAAGGCTATTGAGATCTAGCCCTTGTCTCAGCCATTATTTGTTGAAATGTCAGCACAATACTCAGGCTATATGAGGCTGGAGGCTCTGTCTCTTGTCTTACGGTTTTGTATTCCCTCTAGTAGAGCCACATGCCTATATACGAGGCAGATGTGCTGCCCTGGGAATGGAGTGATTGATCAACTTAAATTAAGGTACACTTCACCCTTGAGCAAGGGTTGGAGAGTAGCTGGTTCTCCGGAGAGGACCAGGATATAACTTTTCTAGGAAGAGGGGAATGGAGGGTGCTAATGGCTAACAGATGAATACTACAAAGGGGTAATGAAGGCTTGAACTTTAGACACTGTCGTTGGAATGGAAGGGGAGGGAAGAAGTAACAAACACAGGAAGTCAAGCTGACCTCCTGGCTATGACTGGGAGTGGACAAGACATAGGCTTGGATTTACCTTGGAGATTTTGAGCTATGTGGCTAGAATTTGGCAATTTCATTCAAGAGGATTCAGGATGAAGTAGGAGGGACCAGATTTATGAGAGAAGGAAGGCATTCTCTTCCTTTCTCATCTCTGTTTTTGTTAATAAGATTGTTTCCAGCTTCTCTAAACTCAAGAACAATTGAGTAGTGCAAGAGGAAGAAGGAAAATTCTTCCACCAACCACTTAGTCTCAGAAGACTTGTCCCTGTGGTTTAGAAAGCTCTTCTCTCAGCGTTTGCATGTGAGAAATGTATTTTCTCCCAGTAGTCTGAGTTGCTTCTGCTTGAGCTAGCAGGGCCTGTGGAGTGAAAAAAACTGCAAGTCAGAGCTGGGTTCAATCTTGGCCGATAGAACATTTCCACCTGACTGATTTAAGACTGTCTTTGAATGCATTGTGGATTAGGCTGGGAAAAGTGTGATGGTATTCATGTATAATGTTCCTGTTGGTTCCCACGAAATAATGATGAGAGAAATATTCAGGAGGGGTTGGAAACAAAAATGAGGAAGGGCAGACGTTGAATCATCATAGCCTGTGTAGAGAGGATGCCAGCATTGGCTTTGTTTTTTGGAGTGTTTATCATTGACCATGTATTGTTGCAAACTGTCAATACAAAATGAATCATTTATTTACATTAGCAACTGTTTAGGGTATTACTGCTATTCCCATTTTACAGATGGGTAAACTGAGGCCAACAGGTCCTTGTTAATGTACAATGATAAAAGTGCTACAACTAAAATGGTAGACCTAGAATTTAAGGACTTTGGCTCAAGGACATGAAAACTTAATCAGCTGACTGTATGTTCCAGAACATCTCAAGACAATCATAATTTATTCCCACTCTCTCAGCATAATTCAACACACAAACTCTCAAAAGTGTCCTCACTTAGCTATAAATCATGAGCACCATTCCTCTTACCCATGATGGTTTGCCTACTCAAAGCCAGGAAAATCTAGTCTGTGCAGCACAAGCATCCAAATGACTAGACAGGATTTCCAGGCAGATGATATTTTGGATGGAGTATGATGTCCTGAGAATTTGACATGTTGTGTGGGTTGGGATAGGCTTTGGTTTAAACCAGTAAGTCAGTGAGCTTTCTTAGGGACTCGAAGCCTTGGTGTGTGCTGACATAAAGTTACTGAGGCCATGCTTTGCAGCTTTGGCAGGTTTTTGCTTATGCCTCAACTTTTGGCTCTTCCAGGTTCCCCCAGATCTCCAGAACGAAGTGCTGATCAGCCTTCTGGAGACAGATCCGGATGTTGTGGACTACTTGCTCAGAAGAAAGGCTTCCCAATCCTCGTGAGTATGCACGTTTTCCAGCTTCTAGGGCCACATTGAGGATTTTCGTTTTTCATTCCATATCTAAAGTATTTGAAAGGTAGCCATATTTTCGTGCAGAGAGACACAAGTAGGATTTTGACAATCTTTTTTAAAAATTCTGATCAATTTACCTAAGCAGAAATTATTTTAGTCTTATCGACTAACCAAATCCAAGTCACTTTCCCAGATATATTTTTGTTTGCTGTCAACTTTCTCTAGCGCCTCTGGAAACTTCTGATTGTGTTCACAGTGGGGGGGAAAAGTGCTGAATCACTGGCAAGAAGCTCAAAGGAAGATAATGTGAATAAATGATTCTAGCAGGCCTGTCCAACTTGTGTCCTCAGGCTGTCTGTGCCTCAGAATAGCTAAGAATTCAGCCCAATATGAAATCACAAACTTATGAAAACGTTATAAAATTTTGTCTTTGTAACAATACAATGTCAAAAACCTGGGCATGTCTGTTAAGAGCATTGATGAATGCTTAATGCTCCGTAGGCTTTATGGGGCCGGGGGGGGGGGGTCCTTCTTGTGAAACTTTACAGGTGG